GTGACAGACAATGAACGAAATAAACAGTAGTTATCTGAATTAATAATTTTAATGAGGTTGTGGTTTTTAACTTTATGTCGAATTGTTGGTGAATTTTTGCCACTACCATTAATAGAACGTGTTCTAGGCAGATGTTTTTTGTCAATGGCTGTAACAGAAACGGTAAATGGTTCACCCCATAACATTCCCTGATCCTGTTTTTTAGATTGGGCCACTTTTAGGAATTGGTTAAGAATTGAATCCACCGTGTTAGAAGTAATTTCACGTATGGGGATCCAAATATCTGATTCTAACAATTGACTGCTCACGGTACATCCAAGTTGATCAGGTTCAAGTTGATTATCCCGGCTTGTTTCCAAAGTTTGGTCTATACACTTTTGAAAAATTTCCCTTAGTAAGCCCTCTGGTTCATCGGGTAAGCCATCTATTAAAAATTTAGTAGAAAGTTTGGTAAGATTAAATTTTCTATTGATCTTAGTTTCTTCCCCTAAATGTTTTAAAATATCACCTCCGCCAGATTGTAAGTCAAGTAAATTGTTGATCAAGAACATCCTTGATTTCTTTGAAGGTGGAGGAGGCATTGTTATTAATATTAATAATAAAAATAATTAGGGGTTAAAGAAAAATAAATCTGAGAATTTAGGAGTAATTTAAAAGTAGTAAATCTGCAAGAAAAATTCAAAGAATGAGATAGGAAATGCAAATCCTTTACTTTTAAGAAAAATATTCCCTAGAATAATTGATGTGTTGTAGAATAGGAATTTAAAGAAATTCTATTACGTAATACCTTTCTATTAACAGCAGGAAAAAGCCTAAAAGAATTTTGCATAAAAGGAAAAGCAAAAGCATTTAAAGAAAATAAAGAGAGAGCAAGTTTCGTAATACATACTTTTGTTTTTATTCCCTTGGGATGTTGTCAAAGGAAAGAAATTCCTATATAAAAAATTATTTTCTTTTATTTCCAGTTAAGAAAAGGAATTTTTAAAAATAAATCTGGTATAATTTGACTAGATAGGAAATGTTTTATATCTTAATATTTCGAGAAAGAAAATTAACATAATATCTGGTAAGAAAAATTTTTAGGAATAAAATTTGAAATTTGGAACGATGAGACGATTTGTTTGTAGAGTTAATTTTTTAAACTCTTAATTTTTAATTATTAGTGGGTAATTAATAGAGAGAGGGTAATTATAAAGCTATTTATTTTCATTTATTCATTTTTCCTATTACAGTAATATTTTGTTTTTATAATTAGTTGTTTTTATAATTATAGCTATTCTTTACCTATTTTCATTTTTTTAACGTTATTTCTATCTTCAACGCCTACTTTTTAAAAGTTTACACAATTTTAACTTTTCAACAATAATTTACAAATTTTTCTCGTGCATGACCTAATTTCTGACCTATTTTCACTTTTCAACAATAATTTCGCAGCATAATTATTGCATGACTTATTTTTACTATTTCTATTTCCACCGCCTACTTTTTAATAATTATTGTATTTTTTTAAATTATAAAAGGCAAAAATAATAAGAGAAGATAGTGTACAGAAAGGAAACTTAAAAAAAGGTTTAAGAAACAGTTTTAAGAAGAAAAATATGACAAATCTTGTTTGAACCGGTTCAAACCCACTTCTTGAACCCTAGAACCATTAGGAAACATTTTAACTTTTTAGTCTCATAGTCTTATGAAAAATATGAGAAATCGTGTTTTGAGCCGACTAAACCGGTTTAAAACTACTTCTTGAACATTTGGACCTTTGGAAGCATTTCGAACCTTTTGACTCTGACGACGGAATGGCTGAATGAACGTTTAACAAGTGGGAGGGGCTAAATGGTTGGACCCCGCTGCCCCCAACGACTTATACGCCGGGTTAACTACTGTTGGATGGTGGCACAGTCGGTTGTGCTTTCGGTTTGGGCTCTTTCCGTGATGGGGGCTCTTTCCGTGATCTATTCTTTTTTTTTGGGCTCTTTCCGTGATCTATTCCATCTCCCATCCACAATTTTTCCACAGCATGAACATACTATCGTATGTTATAATGGCGCGGTCGCACAGGCCGGGCATAGCCCGAGGAAATTTAAGCGAACCTTCAAATGCTGTGATGATCTGACATTCTGTCACTGTGGAGAGAAAAAAGGAGAAGACCCTGTGAGAAATTAAATGCCTGAGTTGTGATAGGCTAGCCGGTGGTGTGAGGCTAATATATAAATAAAAAATGCGTAAGACGCCGATGATGCGCAGCGAGTAAGAAAAATAAAATGCCACAAATGGGTTTCTGTGTGTTCTCTCCAAAAATCGAAACAGTTGATAGTTATTGAAGACAAGCAACAAGCGAGGACGCTTGATTTCGCAAGGCGGAAGGAGTGTTGTGTCCGCACTTGCAGAAAGAATATAAATGAAAATAAATAACCCAGCATAGGGTTGGATGGTGGCACAGTCGGTTGTGCTTTCGGTTTGGGCTCTTTCCGTGATGGTTCTATTCCATCTCCCATCCACAATTTTTCCACAGTACGAACACTCGGACATGACACTTGAGAAAGTAATAAAAACCCCGTCTAGATAAGGAAAAGCAGCTTAGTTGATGTTTATTCCAACTTAGTTCTCTATTAATCAATGGCCTAGTGTTCGGTCAGCCTAGAGCCTGACCAAGTTTGTATACCAACAATCATTCACTCCGCGCGCTTGCGCTACCTTTGGCAATTATTCACCCCGCACTCCATCAACAATTAGGGTTGGCCACTCTAATTAATAATTTACTATATTTACCCAAAACAAATTTATAGAAACATGAAAATTAATTTCAAAAAATACTTCTTGTACATGTTCTCGATTGTTTTAATTATTGGTCTGTTTTATAATTTAATTTTTATTTCATTCGCCATAATTGATGGAGGCGTTAAACATTTTGATGAATTAAACAAAACATTGCCATATGTTTCTTTTAAATCAGCGGTATTTTTTAAAAAGTGTAAAAAGTACAATAAAATAATTTTGAAGCAAGACTTGGCATCATTAATTGTAATTCTTTTTCCAATACCCCCATTAATTATAATTTGTATTTGTGGATTTAAAATGGTTTATTATGTTAATTTACATACTGGATTTGATCAAAATATGAAGAGATTACTTAAACAATTGACAAAAACTTTGATTATTTTGGTGAATTATTTAATTTTTTGCATAATTTTATCAAATTTAAGGCAATTATTCCATTTATTAATCTATTTTTGTCTTTATTACTTGGATACTTTACATACAATAATCAGGCAAATGATACAAATAAAGAAAATAAAAATATTCTTTATATATTTCTTTCAAGTTTTAATCATTTTGTATCCGTTTTTAACCCAATTGTTTGTATAATAACTAATAAGCCGTACAAAGAAGCTGTTTTAAATCGTTTGAGAATACATCCACAATAATTTCTGTATTATATGTCAAAAATAATAAACACAGAATTATTTTTCGTCGAATTACATTAATTTTCTTTTATTTTGATAAAATTTGACACATATTGACAAATATTCTTTAAGTTGTTAGTTTCGTTTACCAACTATAGAATCTCGTATCTCGTTCAACTATTAACTATTAAAGTTGTAGCTCAATGGTGAATTTGCTTCCTCACTTTCTTTCGCTACTTTAGTACTCCTTTCCATTATCCTTTTCAACGGGGATGATTGAACTTTAGAATGAAGCTCGGGTTTTTGCTCAAGCGTCTTGACAACAACAATAGAGTTTCTTTAATATTTTTTAATAAGGCATTGCGTGAGATCGAAGTCTTATGTACTTTATAACACTTGTGACGTTTCTCAGAAATTTGTTAGAATGTAAATAAACAAAATTTTCCCAGTAATATTTTTTGTATTTTTAAAGGTTATTTGCGTCAAACTATCTAATAAAAAATATTTTTTAATTAATTAATTTACTTTATTTTACTATAAATTTTTGAACATTAAAATAAAAAATGCCCAATCTAATTGATATTTTCCTTGGATGGGATTTCTGGGGAAGTTTATTACTTGGTTATCCTCTAAACATTATTCTGATTATTTTAATTATTTTTAAAACACCAAAAGAAATGGAAACACACAGCAGAATTCTGATACAAAATTGTGTTTTGGATATTTTGTTATTGACAATTCAGATGTTTGCACAAGTGGTAAAACATAAACAAAATTAAATCAGAATTATTTAATATACATCAGGGTTGCCGCGGGTACAAAAAATCTTCGGGTACGGGTTTCGGGTTGGCAAAAAGATTCTGTGGTGTTCGCAGATTCTGCGGAAACATCCACTGATTCTGGGGAAACATTTCGCAGATTCTTAAAGAAATACAAAGAAAGAAAATTAAAAATAAAATCAGAATTTAATAAAAACAAAATTGACAATTTATTTAAGTTTGGGATAACCGACAAGGATGGAAATGAAGTTTTTATTTTAACTAACGGAATTTTGATTAATTTTATGAAAGAAAAGTTTAACCCATTATTTTTGTATTATATGTTGATTATTTGGCAATTTATTTATAATTTAAACACTGACGGATTATGTGTTCAATTTATATATAGATATTTAGTTCTAAACAGGTAATTAACGACCAGAGTTGGGTCGGAAATTGGAAATGTCGGAAATCGGAAACGGTGTAAGGATGATTCATCCAGCAGCATTTAAAACGCTTATGCGGGGGTTAAACGATCTAAAAAGGAAAAAGAGAAAGCATTATTCGGTGCCCCGGTAGCTCAGTGGTCCTGTATGTAGTGAGCGAAAGCGCCTAGCAACAAGGCTAGGCGTTTAGCCACCGGGTCCTGCCCGGTGGCTAAACTTTTGCAAACTCTTTCTATGGCTGTCGGAAATCGGAAACAGCCAAAAGTCGGAACTCGGAAATCAAAATTTTTTTCAGAAATCGGAAGGACAAAAACGCCGAAAATCGGGAATAGGATTCCGACCCACCTCAGTTAACGATAATCAGTTTTATCTTAAGTTCCGATTTCAGAAACATGAAAATTAACTTTCGTCGCTATTTATATATGTTTTCGGTTGCTCTACTAATAAATATAATTTATGAATTGAATGATATCTTCTTCATTATGCCATATTCTGGTGGAGGTATTAAACAATTTGTCGAGTTTAATGAAACATTGCCTTTTGTTCAAATTATAACGGATAATGTAATTTTAAAATATTTTTTTCAAATAATTTTATTAAAAAGATAATTATTTTGGCAAGTGTCCCAATAATGTTTATTGAAATTATTCCATATTTTATAATAATTTTTTGTGGAATTAAAATGGTTAAATACGTTAATTCACATACTGGACTTGATCAGAATATGAAAACATTGTCTAAACAATTAACAAAAACATTAATAATTCTGGTATGTTTTGAATTGATTCTGATATGTTTTAAATTAATTCTGATATGTTTTGAATTAATTCTGATTTTGTTTTGAATTAATTCTGGTATGTTTTAAATAAATTCTGATTTTGTTTTGAATTAATTCTGGTATGTTTTAATTTAATTCTGATTTTGTTTTGAATTAATTCTGGTATGTTTTAAATAAATTCTGATTTTGTTTTGAATTAATTCTGGTATGTTTTAATTTAATTCTGATTTTGTTATAAACTGGTATGTTTTAATTTAATTCTGATTTTGTTATAAACTGGTATGTTTTAAATAAATTCTGGTATGTTCTAAATAAATTCTGATTTTCAAAACATCTTTAATGATATTTAGACTCTTGTTCCGTTCGTAAAACATGCAACAATTTTAATACTTTCATTATTCATTCAAACAAACAGTAACACTGCAAACATCGTCCGTTTAATTATTAATCATTGGTTTCATTTTACCCCTGTATTTAACGCAATTATTTGTATATTAACAAACAAACCATATCGAAATGCTGTTTTTAAAAGTATAAGAATATTTCCACAATAATTGTAAAAGTTGATATTTTGTAATATTATTAATAAATATTCTGATTTAATTAATGTAAACCATGTAAAAAGTTAAAACAAAAATATTTTTATAAATAGTATAATACATAAATTCTATATACAAAAATTAAAATAAAATTGAGAGATCATATATTAAGTAAAATTAAAACGGGAATGCTTTTAACGAAAATTCTCTTTTTTCCTTCAATTCTTCCAAAAAAATTAGTTCAATTATTCCAATTAACAGGCACATTTTCTATAAACTACAGCCATTTGTAAACTTCCATTAGAATGTTGTGTTGTATACAAAACTGAAGAAGCTGTAGTTGTTGAATTACCAGAACCTCCGCTTGCATTTCGCTCACTGTTTTTTAGCTTTTTGACCTTCAAATTTTTATGAAAATTTTATCTTATCTGAGAGGATTTATAGGATTTATTAAGGATTAGCGGTGGGATATAAGTGAATTTGTGGATATAAGAAGTTGATATCGGGTGATAAAAGGGGCTCTGAATTAATCATGGGGGATTTAAGTGATATCAATGAGATAACAAGGGAAATACGTTTTGTGGGAAGGAAGGATTGAGGGATACTAGGGGAGTTGGATGATTAAATGAGAGAAAGAGTCCACATCAGGGCTGGGCTTGTTTCGCAATTTCGCGTTTCGCATCTTTCGCATTCTCGCATTTTTCAGCGCGAAGTTTCGCATTTCGATTTTTATTTTGAGATTTTTCTGAACAAATTTCGCAATTTTGCGTTTCGCATTTTTGGCGCGAAAAGTTTCGCATTTCGCTTTTTATTTTGAGAGCCCTGGTCCACAGCCCTGGTCCACATTAACCCATGATATCCTACCATCGAGATACCGGGGCATCTTTTATCCTTTTAGATCGTTTAACCCCCGCCTAAGCGTTTTAAATGCTCTAGGGGAAACACTCTTACACTACCTTAAAGCCTCAAATCTTTCAAAAGTACCTTTAACCAATTAATTTCTTCCCCTTTCTGATTAGCCCAAGGAAAGCTTTTTTCTCCATGTATTGAATTTATTTCTTCTCCTTTTGTTTGATCCAACAAATTATTATTTGCATGATTTAATCTGTTTAGTGAAGAACAATCTGACAGGGCAACTCCATCCCCTGAATTAACAGCACATAGGACGTCAGAATTTTGAGTTCGAGTTTTTGTTGATTTTCGTCTAATGTGTCCTCTTCTAAAATTTTTTTAATAGTTGAAAAGAAGATCACATTACCCCCTTTAGAGTCTTAAAAAAATTTAAATAAATCTTATAAGTCAAGCGCAAGATTCTAAGGTATAATTCTGAACATTAACTAACAGACTCTACATAATGTTAATTAAAGGAGAGAAGCAAATTTTAGTTCCTTTGTACTAGGGTTTCACTGGACTTGCGGTTCCGGAAAGTTCCGGGGGTTTTTGGTTTCGGTTCCGAGAACCGGAACTCAAATTAGATCAGGTTCTAGTCAAAATTTCGGTCCCGGTAAAATCCTACTATATACCCATGACCTAAGTAAATTGAGTATCATGAAACTAAGACTCTAATTTATCATTGATGTTAACTAAAGGTGATCTTCTGGGTTATCCAAAATTATTTAATTACCTGCACTTAAAAATGTCACGTATAGCAGAACGAAATCTTTGCGACATAAAAGCATACAAAAACGGATTACAACTACTTGAGAGGAATAATAACAAATAAGTAACTGGTTGAGTAAACACCTTGAAATTTTTTGAAAAAAAATTTTTTTCAAAATTTTCTCGTAAAATACCTCAAATCCCCCCAAACAAATTCTTTCTTCAGAATATACCTAATAAAATAATTTTTCTTCAGAAAATAATTTTTTATATTATAAATACCGCAGAATAAAGTAAACGAATATGGTTGGGAAGTGTTAACACAGCAAAAGAGCAGACAATAGCTATTAGAAGGCGGATAATCTGTCAAAAATAAATTTCTATGATTGAATAATTTTTTATCATTTTCGGGGTTTTTAGCTTGAATTTCACCATCATTTATCAATTAAAATTTTTCGGTACACCTCAAGTGCGTCCAGACTCAACTAAGTTCCGGACCCTATAATTTATCTAGAGATGGTCACATTTTTTTGTTTTTGGTACCATTCGATAGGGCATTAAATAGGCTACAATATACCAAAAAATCAAAATCCCTGACCGACTGGTAAAAAGGTTATAATCGATGAAGTGCCGAAAATCGGATTTTTTGTAAAATTTTTACCCTCTTTCTCGACTCCACAGTACTAACAAACACAGTAGATGAAGAAGGCGCCGAATTTCTCTGTCCTAAATGTGCCGGACCTACAGAACCATTGCCCAAGGCCAATCTACATTTTGTCCCATTTTCCTGCTCAACATCTTCCTCCTCCTCATCATCATCCAAATCCTCTTCCAAATGACTTCCATTAGACTCTTCTTCCTCCTCTTCTTCATCCTTATCTTCTTCCTCCTCCCTTCCTTCCTCTTCTCTCCCAAAATCTTCTTCTTCCTCCCCTTCACTCTCACTTGTAGTGTTTGGAAGGGGCGATGATTTATTAACCAAAATAAGCGGGGGAAGATTATTATTTGTTATTTTAGAATAATTATTAGGCTGTGAATTTGAACGTTTTGAAGGAGTTTTAATTGTTACTTCAGAAACTATAGTTGCCGAGCCGTTATTGTTAGTTATTGCGCTTAGGCGACAACTGGCTACACTTCTCTTTTGTATTCCGGTCATTGTTGTTGTTTCTAATTTTTTTTAAATTATTTTATATTGAGAAAATTTAAAGAAATTTATTTTTCCAAAATTATTATTTTATAGTGGAACAAATACAGTATATGTCCGATACCCTCATAAATAATTGCAATAGCGATTAAGAACTATAGTTGGGGTTTACGAGTCGAGCCGACGTTCAAGTCATTTTTTTCGGGCCGGCCCGACCGAGTCTTTTTCGGGCCAAAATTCAAGGCCCGCCTCGATCTTTCGGACCGGCCGGATCAGGCCCCCAACCCTATTAAGTACTCCCATCAGCGAGAGTTTGAAACAATACATACCAAGGTTGTGCCAGTTTTGCCTTTCGAGTTTCGCGGATTTTCGCGTTTCGCCGTTCGCTTTTTAAAATAGTAACAAACCGTTACTATTTGTTCTCATCTGTGTCAGTTTCTTCAATGGAGCACTGTGCCAAAGAACAAAACCGATGCGTGTATAAAGAAAAGCAATTATACACAAAGGAATACAATACCAAACAAGAAAGGAAATAATTAACTAAAAAAAATTATTTTTTTTTTAATTTATCAAATTAGAGACACTTGGTCAAATTTCCAAAAAAAAATTTTTAAAATCTAAACTGAGTGATTTTCTGTTCCAACTAGGATTGTTGGCAACCTGTTAATTTTCCCTGCGACGGATCAAATAGAGAGAAGAAAAAGGGCTTTTGAGCAGGGCTGTCCGCAATTGCGGATATTGAGTGGTTTTTATGAACTTGCGGACTTCGAATTTTAAAATTATAATTGCAGATTGCGGCTGCGGAAACCTTTTTTCATATGCGGACAACCCTGCTTTTGTGCCCCCACAGGGAAAATTTAACTGGCTGCCAACACTCCAAGCTTCAATCCTTATAACTCATAAAGTGATGGCCCCTTCTTAACACTCTTGGTACCACCGGATAGATAATTAAATACACTACAAGATATCAAAAAATCAAAATTCTCGACTGAATTCTCGACTTCGATTTTGTCTTTATTATTTTTTCCGAGTCTAATAAATGAAAAAAAAATAATTTTTTTCTCACCATATTCCGCGTGCTCACAAAACTTTAAATAAAAAATAATTAAAAATATTAATTTTTAAATTTTTAATTTTTAAATTTAAAATTAATTTTCCCAGTAATTTTTATTTATTATTTTTCCACTTTTTTTCAATTTAAAATTAAAAAAAAAAATTTTTTTTATTTGGAAAAAATTTTTTTTCCAAATTTTTATTTTTTCCTCTATTTTTAGAATTATTTTCTTATGCAACATTTTATTAATATTTCGTAAATTTCTTTATTTATTTTTTCTAGTCAAACTAAAAATACACAAAAAAATTATTTATTTACTATAAGACACAAAAAAATATTAATTTTTAAACCACGAGGTATTTCCTAAATTAACCAAAAATTAATTTATTTTTAATTCCCAAATAAAACAAAAGAAAGACCACCACCAAAAAAATATATGTATTTTATGGTCCCATTTTCAGCAACACTTTTATGATAATTTATTAAATAAATGTTTTAAGAAGGAAACACGAGGTAAACGTGATATTGAAATGATTGATTAATAAAAATAAAAACATTTTGTCTAACAACTTGTTTTTTCTCTAAAATATGTTTGTCTCTCTATTAAATAAACACTCTTTCTATAAAAACATTTGTTTAAATTTCAACATGTTTGTTTCTGTTAGTTTCTAAAAATAAACTCGGAAAAAAACATGTTTTTCTCCTAAACATTTAAAGAAAATATTTTCTTCAAAACATCAAAACATAACATCCAAACAAACATCCAAATAAACATCCGAACAAACATTCAAACAAACATCCAAACAAACATTACAACAAACACCTAAACAAACATCCAAACAAATATCCAAACAAACATTACAACAAACATTCAAATAAACATCTAAAACTTTTCTTTACTTAATGTTTGTCTCTCTTCTAAAAACATACTCTATCATTAAAAATAAACTTTAAATTACAACTTGTTTGTTACAACTTGTTTAAACAACAACAAACTTAAAAATAAACTTGTTCGTCTCATAAAACTTGTTTTACTAAAAACATGCTTTGTTGTTTTATGTTAAAATAAACTTTAAATTAAATTGCTATCTTTTCTTTTTTTCTCTGTAAAACAACTTTGTTTCTCACACATAATCTTTTACGTAAAAACTTAAAATTTAATCTTTGCTGTAAATTACAACACATAATTTTATATTTATTATGCAGCTGCAAATTTTA